CCACCTCTGCCGCGTCTGCTCCCAAGATGGGGCCCTCCACTCCCGAATATCCCAGATGTCCTCTTATTTCAAGGGCCGCAACTTTCCCACTTTCAGTGGTCGAAAATGCTCTCAACCGCATCTCTTGCTTTTCCTGCACCTCTGCCCTCATCCTCTCTCCCCAACAAAAACAAAGACAGAATCCTCCTTGTCCTCACATATCACCCTACCAACCTCTGCATCCAACATATCATTCTCCGGCACTTCCACCACCTCCAATCCAACCCCACAATCAAAGACATATTTCCCTCCCCACCCCTATCTGCCTTTCGTAGGGACTGCTCTCTCCACGACTCCTTCGTCCGCTCTGCACTCCCCACTCGCTCCACCATCCCCGGTATCTTTCCCTGCAACCGCCGGAGGTGCTACTCCTGCCCCTACACCTAAATCTCCCCACTCCTGGCATCATCCCATGACCAACCCTTCCTCCTTCCCCGCCTCTTCGACCTGACAAACCTGTCCATCATCTTCTCTCCCACCTATCCACTCCTCCCATCTCTTTGACCAATCCCCAGCATTCCCCAACTGCACTCACCTGTCACCATCCCACATACCTTGTCCAGCCCTACCCCTCTTCTCCATTTATTTCTGGAGCTCCCTTCCCTCTAGACTGGAGAAAAGAATGCCAAGAGAAAATTCTGGTAAAGAGAGAACGAACTCCAACTTCTTTCTGTGGCTGAGAGAGATGTATAACAGCTTCCACAGCCAACTTCAAAACCCCAACAATTACTGAAAGCTAAACTAAACCCCTGGTTCTATGGGAGCCTGACACCACTCATTCATGCTTCTTCCATTGTTCTAAATTAAAAAAATTCAGGGCCTCACAAACTGTTCACGTTATTGGTTTGGAAGAGATAACTCGTCACCTCTGGCTCAAAACCGCGCTTCAAAAAAATCCAAGTCAAAATGCACCCCTTAAAGCCAAAGTATCGTCACACTGGGGCCATCAGCAGAATTGTACCCCAACATAATCTATTACCTTATGACACAACATTTCCTTCACTCTACCGGCGCCATCATTAACCCTGGTTCAATGAGACACAGAAGGTGGCATGCCAGGAACAACACGAAGCATACCTAAAACTGAGGGGTCAACCCAACAAAGCTGCAAAACACAACTTTCGTGCCAGAGTAAGTAGCAAGTGAGAGAGTCAGAGCTAAGCAATTTCCCAACCAACAGATCATATCTAAGCGCTGCAGTTATGCCAATCGTGCAGGACAGTTCAACAACCTACTGGAGGAGGTGGCTCCACACATATCCCTCAATAATGGGGGAGACCAGGACTCCAGTGCAAAGGATAAGGTTGAAACATTTGTGACAATCCTTAGCCAGAACAGCTGATTGGTTGATCCATCTTCACCTCCTCCAGGTGTCACCAGCATCACAGATGCTACTCTTCAGCAAATTCAATTTATTCCATATGCTGGAGGCATTGAGCACTATAAAGGTTATGGGCTTTGACAACATTCTAGCAATAACACTGCAACATTGTGCTCTAGAACTTGCTGGGCCCCCTAACCAAGCTGATTCATGACATCCACAACATAGGTATCTACTGAATGTGGAAAATTGTCCAGGCATGCCCAGTATACAAAAAGCTGTTCAAATCCAACCACCCCTCCAGTCTACACTCAATCATCAGTAAAAGGATGTGAGTTTTGTCAATATTGCTATCAAACATCACAGACTTAATAACCTACTCACTGATGCTCAGTTTAGGTTCCACCTGGGACACTTAACTCCTGACCCCTTTATGGCCTTACTTCAAACACAAACAAATCAGCTGGAAATTTCAGAGATGAGGCAACAGTCACTGCCCTTAAAATAGAGGCCACACTTGACCAAGTGGAGCATAAAGTAGCCTTAGCAAAACTGGAGTGAGTGGGAGTTAGATGGGAAACTCTCTGCTGGTTAAAGTCATGCCTGATGCAAAGGAAAATGGTTGTGGTTGTCGGATGTCAGTCATCTCAGTGACAGGACATCTGTGCAAGAGTTCCTCAAGATAGATATGTTAATCAACCTGTTTAGAGATTATATTACATTTCTCTGGAGGAGGTGGGACTTGAACCTGGGCATCTTGGCTCAGGGGTAGGGACAGTACCACTGAACCACAAGAGCCCTTAGGAGTTTCACAAGGTAATGTCCCTAGATCCAACAATATTCTGCTACTTCATCAATGAGTTTCCCCTCCATCATAAGGTCTAAACTGGAGATGTTTGATGTTTGCAACAGCGTTGTGACATTCACATCCCAAAATGAATTTTTAAAAAAATGAATCAGAGTGCACAAGTTGGACAGCTGTCCCACAATCTAATCAAGTAATAAATTAACTTGAGTACATTTACAGAATCTCAAGCTTCACCCAATACTCCTGACCTCTCCAGGGTACATTCTATCTAGCCAGACCATTTCTGGCTCAATGCAGCCAGAGGTCTTTGCTACCTCTGATGCTTATGACTAGCCAGTTCAGTTCACTCCATGTGACCAAAGTTAATGAGGGTATAAGAACAAAATAGGTATAGGTTTCAACAATATCGCATTTCCACTGCTATACAGATGGACTTGAAAGCTAGCCACATCTGATAAAGTATTGCTAAAACAATGGCATTTGTTTGACCATATGGAAGGTAGTATTGTTTCCACAGGTAAAATCTAATACAGACAACTAAAATCTAGAAGCCAGTTACTGCTTTACAAACTGATTACCAATCAACTCTTTCCAACACTTCACTGAAATTGGTCAATACTGCAATTAAACAATTCTTGATTAATGTACAATCTGGATACTGTCAGAACCACTCATCTCCAAGCATCTTTCATGGACAGAAGTGAAAGCTAGAGGAGAGGCAAGACTACTGGTCCTCAAATATTTGACATTTAAGTAAAGACATCAACAAGCCGAAACAACTCATCTTAACAGGAGTCAAAGAAAAACACTGCAGTGGCTGAAATCATTTAACCCAAGATCATGGTCATACTTCTCAATGGATATTCACTGTAGCCTTTAGACACAAACAAACAGATATTTTGCAGGAAAGCATCTGCGGTTTGACTATTTTCAAAGACCAGCCGGTCATCACAAAGAGAGGCTTGTTTACTGAGGATTTCACTGTATAGCTCTATTCACAATTCCTTCAAAATCCAGCATAACACACCTTAAATATATGTGCTAAACATCTAGCTTTGGATAACAAAAGACAGATAACACCAATCTCTGCAGTTAAGACCAGCTATTTCCTGATTCTTCAGCACTTTTATCTGAAGTGTCTTCAAACTTCCAATACTTGGGTGTTAATGCGGGTTAGAAGCTGAACAGGACGAACTATTCTAACTTGGGGCAACAAAAGTAAACTAGAGACCGGGAACTCTAAATGCATAATGAGTTCATCGAAACTTTTCACCTTCAAAAGACTCTAGTCTGGATCATGGCCTCTCATCTGTTGTTACGGCAACACCCATCTGTGTTGGTGGTGAGTATTCTATCTCACTCCTGACTTGAGTAGATTTGTAGTTCTTACCAACCGGCTCAAAATCCATCCACAGCGTCATTTGCACATTATTTGTGGCATACATTATTTATAGAATGAGGCACAACTAGCTACATTTAATTCAACAGCAGCTTCTCCCCGGTGTCCTTGATAGCAAAAAAGAACAAAGAGGTTCAATGTCATGGAAACAGCCACTCCAGGCTCCATATTATACTGGCCTGGATGTATTACCCTTATCATCGCTGGTTTAATAACACAAAATTCCACACTTCACTATAGGCATGTTAGCCCCACAGGACTACATCAGTTCAAGGAGCTGATATTCTAGCACCATCTTAGGGCAATAGGTTTGGTCTACCCATATTCAACATTTAAAAATATAACTGGGGATGAGCAGTAATCACACCATTGAATTTTCTAGCTCAACAAAAAAAACCACACGGACAACCCTAAGCTCATTTTGTAAACCTTAACACATACCTTGGAATGAGGGGTTACGTTACATGAAGTAATTGAACAGGTTGGAATTTAGAAGAATGAACGATAATCTTATTAAAACATACCAGATCCTGAAGGAGCTCAACAGGTTGGATGTTGAAAAGATTTCTCTTTGTAGGAGAGAGTAGAATTAGTAAACAGATTAAAATAAGGGGATAGAGAGAGGAGGAAATTAAGGGTTGCTCTCTTCCCCAGAGAGCAGCGGAGGTAGTCACTAAATAGTTAAAACTATTTTAAAATATTTTTCAAGATTCTTGACTTACCAGGGAATAGACAAGGAATGGGTTGAGACCACAAACAGATAAGCATGGCCTTATTAAATGGCAAAGGCGGCTCAAGGTCAAGTGATCTATTCTTGCTCCCAACCTGTATGTTCATATGATCTTGGGCAAGTCTCCAAATACCCATTTTTCATGTACAACTCTAAAGATGGAGCATCAGTAGAATGATGGACAGTGAAATATCAAACTCAACTTTGTTCTCTTTCCTGCACATTTTCAAGTGGATGTCACCGGATAAACAGTGGACCTACGGCTTGATCCTTACCCTCATTCTAGATCACGAAGATGGTAATCAACTGAAGTGCCCGCCACCCCAAAAAAAAAACTGTCTGAGCTCAGATCAACTAACAGCTACTAAAAATGTCCAAGTCAAATTATGAAGACTTCAGAGAAAATGCACTGATATGGTACCTCTTGAAAAAACAAAGTTCTAACATCACGTCATGTTCATTAAACAGGCATATAAAGAAAACTAAATAAAATTAATGAAGCAGCTACTTTAGACCTGTTAGCGAAGGATCTTCAGTAGAAAATACAGTTCCAAACTGAGTCATATCACAATACATACAACCAAAATAATCAGCAAACACCAGTATCCATAGCTACCTCAAATGTTCCAATAAACTTCATTTTGGTGAAACAAAATTACAAGATCTGTGTTTTCAGGTTTTGTTTACAATTCCCATTCTTCACCTGCTCTGTTGGTTAGATGCGGTGGTATTGTAGGTACAAGAACATTTGACGTATCCATGGGCTGCGAACCATCTTGCGTCATTTGATCATCTGGAGGCATATAGGCAGGAGGGGGAGTATCTGCTGTAGAAAGATAACAAAATTACAACTAGGTACAGTGAATCCTAAGTGGCTCCAAATCAATGCAAGTATGTCACTACAAAAATGCAAGTGTTTAAGGGCTTAATTCAGGAAATATCAACTTTAAAATCTGAAAGCTAAACTCAAGGTAGTGAAAGTTCTAGATAAAGCTGAAGAAAGATAAATTGGTTAAAGGTTAAACAGCACTGAATACATGGGAAGAGTGAGGTTATGTGGACGGGACGAGGAAACACTATTGAATGGAGTGTTGTGGACTCGGGTCCACTGGTAGGTCTAACGTACCACAATTTGTATTCAGAACTTTAGTAGACAAATGAGAGAATATTTGGGTGGCAGAGTAACTGATTCTGAGGTGGTCAGGAATCAAATAAAACATGGGACACAAGTGACTGCAACAATGTCCTTTGAAATTACATATTCGAGTATAAGTGGGGGAGAGTTGTCACATACGACGAATGTGAATGAAACTGGCACATTTGGAATTGAAAATGTTCTATTCATTATTAGACTTGGGGCTTAACAGGTGAAAAGCAGCAAACAAAATAAACAGAATGTTAAGCCATACAGTCAGAATCAAGAATGTAACTATCAGGAAAAATGGAGAAAGTGGAGGCTCTTTTCTCAGGAACACTAAATCGGAGCCTGATGGAAGTCTTTAAAATGAGTAAGTTTGACAGTGAGAATTAACAGAATGTTTTGCACTCGTTAGCATATATGTAAGAAAATGACTAACATATCAAAGAATTCAGGAGAATCTGTGCATAGAGAACAGCAAAAATGTAGAATGCACTGCCACATGGAAACATTGCAACAGATAGCACCAACATTATGGGATGCAGGTGCACATTAGAGAGATGCAAGTAGTGGGATATGAAGCATGGTGGAAATCAAATCGTCGTAAAATTGGAAGCAATGCAATTATATAAACAATGATATTCAACCTAGAGTGCAGAAACAGACTAACTAATCCAAATGACTTATGTAAAAGCTAATCTCTGGTGACAAAATATCACGTTTTGAGAAATGAGTGGAAATGTATGACTGTTCAGTCTCAAACAGGGCCAACAGATAGGAGACTTGGGATAAGCAAATTCAGCACTAATTTAATTCACAATAGTAGATCAAGACAAGGAAGAGATCAACTGCAAAGGAAATTGGGGACTAATATGAAAATGTTCTTCACATGTGAACTGATCTTCCTGCTTAGATAGTGAGAAAAACAACATAATAATCTGATAACTGGATGCTGGACGGCAGTTTGGTATTTTTATGACCAGACAAACTAAAAAAGGTCAAAAGCGCTTGTATGCATCTATCCTATTAACTAGTGATAAACAACTTAACTCAGTGAAAAAGGAATGTAAAAAAAACCCAAAATTTAAATGCTACTTCCTAATGCAGATTTGGAAGCTTAATGAACCAACTATATATTTCCTAATGTTAGGTTTACTTTGCTCTATATGTTAGAAAACTACTTCAAATTTTAAGCTAGCAGTTTTCATGTTAAAATACAATTTACTTGAAGGCTGCTCATCAAAATTCATTTCAGAGTGACTCCTAGCTTTTCTGTTCTTTTAACAGCTCATGGATAGTCAGTCAAGTATTAGTTTCTTCAGTGAAGTTAAGATGGCAACTTTCAGGAATTTAATTTAGAGCTCCAGACTCATGGCACCAAAAAGACATTAATTATTGAAAATTTAAACAAGTTAATATAAAATTTTCTGCAATTATTTGTTTCAAAATTAAATAATCAACAGTAATCGTTCACCTGTATAACCAGTGCCTCTATCTTACTCTGAGCTATAAACAACAGGCCTTCCCTCCAAGAATCAATTTCAGTGGAGAAAACCATTATGACTGCAGTCTTGATCAAATCAGTCTGTTTTCTTTTCACAAGAGGAAGCATCCCATCAATTGTACCTGACAAGCTTAGGGTAACAATCAATCAGATGCTATGTTCCATTTATTAGAACAGACAGGCTTATCTTAGAATGTGATTATACTACTATAGATCTGTCCATGGCAGTGAATTTCAAGCATCCACTGACTGTTCTAAAGAGACAGTCATAACTCATTTTGATGTCCACAGGAGTCAAATAGATTATTTTCCATACTTCCCACTATCCCAATTCCTTTGATACTTCTTCACAAATGTTGAGCTGAAAACTAAAAATCCCTAAAGACAGAAATAACAAGGTGTAGAGCTGGATGAACACAGCAGGCCAAGCAGCACCAGAGGAGCAGGAAAGCTGACGTTTCGGGTCT